ACAGGGGTCTTGTAGGAGTTGCACATTGCACTGTCTAGAACCTTCTCAATTCCTGAATGCTCTGATGAGTCAAACTTCTGAGCCTGCAAAGTCAGGGTGAGGTCCGGACCCATGGTGACCCCGTCAGGTCACAGATAGCTCGTGAGGCCAGCAGGCAGCCAGTCCCAGTCACCCACATGTGCTCTGCTTCATTCTTCATCCTACTGAAAAGATTCCCACCAAGTTCTCGATAATTCTTCCCAACTCACCCAAGTTCCGAGTGTCAACCATACCCTCTTTTCTTGTGGTAAAGGAAAATAATGATCCCGACTTGTTAAAACAGGCTTTATTCAGGACAACTGTGTTAAGAGCATTGCAGTAGTGGGACCAGCAGTTAGCGTAATGGCTATGTCGCTGAACCCCCATGTAGTCAACCGCGGTTCAAGTCCTGGACCCAGTGGCTTAAACTCAGGCCGGAGGCGTGTGCGAGCATGCCCAAGATCCTGAGAGGAGAATGGAGGAGAAGGGATTGTGGCGTGGCCATTCCCGATGGGGGGTGATTTCTCACTTTCTGTCTCTCTGTCTCTCTCTGTCTGGCGAGCGCACGTGCCCTGTAGCAAAAAACCTCTCCAAAAAAAAAAGAACATTGCAGTAGGGAGAGAGATCAGGTTCAACTCTGAATATAAGGAGAAGTGGGAATTTACAGCCAATGCGCAAAATGAAGGGGCCAGTGGATAGGAAAGTATTGAGAAGAGACCTCGGTGCTGGTAGGTGGCATGGGGGTTAAGGCGCTGGACTCCCACATAGCCAACAGCGGTTCAAGTCCTGGACCAGATGGCTTGTGTTCTCACTTTCCCTTTCTCTCTCTTCGTCTCTCTCTTATAAAATTTTTAAAAAATAAATTAAGAGGGAACCTCAAGGGTAGGGGGATTCTTATAAAGGTAAACCAGCAGCTATCAAGGGTAGAGAATTCTCTCTCAACTGACGTAGCAGGAATCTTACTGAAACCGGACTTGGCCAGGACAGACTCAGGCACAAGACAGTCAAGACCAAGTTGAGAAGAGGCTCAGAGGAGCCCGACTAAAGTAGTCGATGAGAGAGCCTTTGCCACCTGCGACAGTGATCCAGATACCAGTTATTAAACCCGGCATTGGGACTTAATGTTCTGAGTCCTCAGAATAACCCTGGAAGCAGGGACCAGTATCATCATTTGTCTCCCTGTAAGGAGGCAGCAGGTTAGATACCTTGCCCAAAGTCAGCCTGCTAGCCAATGGCAGAACTGGACATAACTTGCCCCAAAGGCAGCCTGCTAGCCAATGGGCGAACTGGACATATCTTGCCCCAAAGTCAGCCTGCTAGCCAATGGCAGAACTGGGATTAGAGTTTGGGAAGACTGGCTCCAAACCAATAGCCTTAACCTCCTGATGACAGAGCTTGTTGTCTTGTTCACTCTTTAATGGATTTCATGCTTAATTACGCCGCTCCTCACCAATTTGGGAATACAGAAAACCAAAGACACGAGATTCTCCTACAGTTTTGCTTTACAACGGACCCCCTCTTGGCATCTGTAATAGTTACTGGGGGAGGTCTCCAAAGATAAACCAATGTAAGGGGTGCTCTGTAGTATGATTTCACCAACAAAAACATTGGTACACAAAAGAAGAAAGCAGAGCAGCTTTCTGCGTCCGTTCCTATTTTTGCTGTGTTCTGCTTTTGTTTAATAATAAGGGGGAGGAGCACTCATCTGCAGCAAGAGTTTTTATTACGCAGGAGCTGGAGAACAAAACGAGTTTTAATTTCTTCCCATTTTATTTCCGTTTTGCCAGTGGACATCTGTGCTCATAGGCTTGGAAGCCATAATACGTGGCTAACACTTTCCAATCGTTTCCTTTGGATAATTCCTCTGACAGCGTGAAGAGAAGGGCCTGCACATGGATTGAACACCACATGGCAGTACTTCCCTACATCTGTGTGGCAAACAGCTCTTTCCTTTTCCTACCGAGATAATCGTAAGAGAGCAACGATTTATCAGAATGAAAAGCAATGGGCGAAGGCGACAGGGAACCCAAGCTCCTTCCCTGGCTCTGCAATCTTCTGTCCAGCTGTGTGACCTGTGGCAGGTGACTTTACCTCTCTGGGTTTCCACTTCCACTTCGGGAAAGGAGACACTGAGAGTGCAGGATCTTCAAAGTCCCTCTCAGCTCTGAAACCCCCTGAGTCCCTGAAGTATATAGTGTCAAATAACCTCCACAGGGTCAGCCTTTTGGTTTTGAACCTAGTTCACATTAACCTGATTCACTGCCTCACCTGGGGTTGAGGGAGGGGAAGGTGCCCCGTTAATTATGTGCACTAAAGAAAAAGCAACACTTTTTGTCAGGAATCTCAAGGGGGCTGCCTGCTAGCTGCATCTGCATGTGGCCTTTCCTTGGTGACCGCAGTCAGGGAGGGTGCTCTCAGTTGTCTCCTTATGAGGACACTAATCTGATTTGACCTCTTTAATTTTAATTACCTCTTTAGAAACCCCATCTCCAAATAGAGTCACACTAGGGTTATGGCCTCCACATACGAATTTGGAGGGGACACAACATTCAGTCCATGACACTCATCTCATTCTGATCCACAAGGATTTTCCAAAGGAGTGGAGGAGAAAACAATGTCGATCTAGAGAGCAAGGGGCACAGGAGGTTATGAGCCTCCCAGCCCAGCCTCTCTCCTCAAGATGCAGCCTCACTCCCCCATTGCCCAGCGAGCTGTGCAATGCGCTCTCGTCAGGACTGCGACTCTCCTACCAGCTCCTCAGGCACAGAACTGGCCGTGCCACCTTCTGCACTGGCAGGCACTGTCTCCCTCCCTGGCAGAAGGCTCCGGCGGGGGAGGCAACACACCCAAGGTCACACGGGTAACCAGTGGCAGAGTTCCAATTCAAACCCCATCTTCTGGGCACTAAGGCCCTGCTCCACCCACTGGGCATCACCACCTTCCTGCCACCAACCTCTTGGCAGATGCCTGTTCACAACCTAGAATGTCAGAGGCCAGAAGCCAGCACCTGAACCCCAACATAACTGATGCCTTCCAGCAACCAACCCTCACATTCCCCAGACACCAGCTTTACAGAGTGACGCTTCATACCCCGCTGATCATTCGCCCTCAGCGCCAATCTCAGCGCACTCTCCATAGGGAGCCCTCCTTGCAGAGTGGCTTCTGAGTCTCACCAAGGGCCCCCACTCAGCACTGGTGTCCTAACACTCTGCTTGCTGATGCCCCAAATTCCATTTTCGAACGTGATAAAGTTTGGTTGTTGATCTTTAGAATCATTTGGGAAGTTTTTAATTTATATATATATATAACTAATTTTATATGTACAAATATATGACACTGGCTTTTCTCCATTTATGTTTTATTTACTTAGAAATTTCATGCACTATATAAAGATAAAAGGAAGGAAAAGCCCACCTGAAATTCCACTCCACGCTAGCCATTCCTGATACTTTAGTGACCACAAATTCAGACATCCCCGTATGAATATACACATAGCCAGTCATGGCATCCTCAGGAGATTGCTTCCAGGATCTCCTCTAATTCCAGAATGCAGATGCCCAGGTCCCTAAGATTAAGTGGTGTCTATCTGCATCGCCTGTACTCCCTTCCCGTATCCTTTGGGTCATCTCTAGATGACATGTAAGTAATTTAGCATTGGATATAAGTGAAAAAGGAAAATTCAGAAAGAAACTTCAGCATCTCTCTTGTAGAGCCATTTCATCCCATTTCATAACAATTGGCATGGCCTGACTGTGTCTGTGATGGCTCGACTCCATAGATATGCAACCCATGATGCAGAGAGCTGACTGTGTGTAACTTGTTAGGTCTTATCACACCGGCTAATGTTCTCGTTGTTACTCCTTTGAATGCAGTATAGGCAGGTTACCTTCTTTTTCCTCCTATGTCTTCTTTCAGCCACACTCTTTGGGCCAGGTCACCAATGTTAACAACCTTTCTCTGCTCATCAAGCATATCTAGATACTTAGGTATAGACTGATGATGATGATGATGATGATAGATTTAAAAGGGAGATAAAGATTGCCCTTTGACTTATCTTTTTTAAAAAATTGTACTTGCCTTTTTTTTTAAGTTTCTTTCATGAAAGAGAGAAAGACAAGCACCCTCAATGGGGTCCCATACCACAGTCCCCTACAGCCTTCCCAGCCAGGCAGCATCATGGGCACACAAAGCTGGTGTGCAAAGGGTACCATGGAACCGGATCTGCTCCTCCACGTGGATCCAGTATCCTGAACAGCACACCACCGCAGCACCACCAAGTTGGCCTTTGTTTTTCCTTTTTAAAAAGGGAATCGTATATGGGGCCAGCAGGTGGCATCGTGTTTAAGGCACTGGACTCCCACAGGTCAACCATGGTTCAAGTCCCAGACCTGGTGGCTTGAAACTCACACTGGGCACGTGTATGTGTGCATGCCCCAAATCCTGAGAGGAGAATGAAGGAGAAGGGATTGCAGCCTAGCCATCCCCCTGGGAGTAATTTCTCACTTTTTGTTTCTTTTGGTCATCTCTGGTGAGCGAACATACCCTATGGCAAAAATCTGTCTCTCGCAAAACAAAACAAAACAAACAAATCGAATATATTTCTTTTACTCTTGATTTTTTCACTTAAAAGTGCCACATAGAATCTCTTCGTCACTTTTTTAAAACTGCAAAATAGTCCAGAATAGTGACAACTATTAAACTATCCCCTTATCGAGGGAACCTCATGCTCTATTTTCATCACTGTGAATAAATGTTGCAGTAACTACCCTAGGACATAGCTCTCCATACACGCTGCCTTCATTCTATGAGAGAGATCCCTGGGATGGAGTGCCAGGTTGAAAGGATGTGCGTTTTTCATTTTAATTGCTAATGCCAGATGGTTTTCCAAAATGTGACGTGGATCTCCCTTCTACCAACAGTGAGTAAGCACACTC